TCCTGGTTTCTGTAATCTTATTCAAGAAAATTATAAAATTTCAGATGTTTCATGCATTTGTAGGAAATGTGAACTCAAGTTCAAATGAATATATGCTAGACCATCTGAGGACATCCAAGGTCAATTAATGTCGAAAAAGTCATGTACAATTGAAGAAAAAAAAATCTAATGAAAAGGGTTTGTGTTTTTTACAAGAGTTTTCAATATGTTACAAGACATCAGATCACAATACTACTGTTGACCCATCTATATTTCAGTAGGTCTTTGATATAAATCTTGAAAATTTACAACACACATAACAAGTATCACTTTGTCACATCCACTACAACACTTTAAGTAATTGTAAAAGGGAACAGGTCCCGACCATTGTACTGTGTGTGAAAAGATTTCCCGTACTATAAGATTTATTTGTATTTCGGATTGTACAAATGACCTGTTTTTACAGTATCTTAAATAAGAATTAAATTTTGAAGCAGAATTAGATTTTTCAGAAAAGATGTATTGCTGTTCTGTTAAATCATCATCTTAAATGGTTGTTGACAATGCTGAAGGTTAAGTTAGGGAAAGGTCTGCTACATTTTCTTCCTAAGAGAAAGATGGTTGTTTGATTAACAGGAATGGTGCTGATATATTAAATTCTTTGCGTGCAATGACAGTTAATGTTTTCAATACATTAAATGAAAAAAAGGACGAAGTTACAAAATTAACTTACACTAATAAAAAATTCATTTCAGAGAAAAACACAAAGTTGTTTAACCATGAAATTTTAAATGAAGCTGTACAAATTTTAAGGGCATTTGTCAAGCAGTACACATAAGAGAATTCGTAATTAACTGCAATGCCTGATATCAAAAATGTTGACCCAGGTTCAGAAATACATAAAATTCCTCCAAATTGTGTTGCCGGGTAAAAGCCTGTTAGATATTGACATCGACAGGACACGTGTGTTATACACTTATCCGGGAATTACATTTAGCCCGATAATTTACTCTTACGAAATACTCTTATCCTGGAAATTTCATGTTTATCAAAAAAATATACTTACAAGTATTAACAAGCGGTTCTATTATTTGAGATCGTAAGTTATATTGATGAATTGTATTTTTTATGCATTTACTATTAATTTACTTACAAATTCATTTAACTAATACCGAAATAAGAATCATAGCTGCCGAGATCTAAAATGATGTCTCCCATGTATCTGTTACCCCTTAGAAAACTTGAAATAGGAACCAGCTCTAGTTCGCGCTATTTCCGAAGTCCGTTATCAAGATGAAGTTTTCAACAATATTGATGTTGTTTAACTTTTTATTATTTCTTCTGATGAAAAATGTCAACACTCACAGAAATGAAAAAGAAAAGGTATGTATTAATTATTTGTGGCTTTTTTTTAATTGATAAAAAGCTTGTACACACAATTTTAATCATCATAGTGCAAGTAATATGCCGAAATCTTTTTAACATATAAAATTCTTTCATGTCAAAACAATTAAATCCAAATGATAAAGAGATAAACAAGAAACTTTTTTTTTAAACTTATACCGCTCCAAACATAACCCAACTTACCCTATTTGATTATATTGACATGTTCTCAAATACCGAAAATACAGAAAATATAGTGTGAGGGTTCAAGAAAAAACTTTAAGGTTTGTCGAGGAAGAAAAAATCGTAAGATATCTTAAGTTTAGATAGGTAATTGTTCTAAACCTCATAACTCATTTAATCTATGATTTTGAACATCAAACTCTTACATTTATATGACAATGGGACGATAATTTTATTTTGCGAGGGTGTAAAAGGGGGAGGATTCACTTGAAAATTTTTGTAACTTAAAACTTCATTCTTTGTGGATAAGAGAATAGGTGTGCATACTTTTGTAACAAATCTAACACAGGTGATCCCACAATACTTTATACTCTATATTTCAATTTTGCCGGTGATTAAACATTTGCAGTAATTATTCAATCGGAAAGTACAGCATCAAATACTGTATCACAAATCAAATTTAAATATTACTGATCCGACAGAAATAAAAAAATATCATATTTTTTTGTTTTTGTTCTGGGATTTTATAATACTATTTAGAGGGTACAACGTGTATACATATAATACATAAAAAAAAAGAGCAGATCGCTTGGTTTGAGCGTGCTCGTATTTAAATGAAATTCTGGTAAGCTCATACTAGTATATTATTTATTTTTTCCCCTTCTCAATAACTCTACAATATGAGTTTACAAATACGACCGATTTATTTTACTTAAAAAAGTGTTTTCTCATTTAAATGGATATTTTGATATATATGGACATTCGTATTTTCCTGGAATAAAATTCAAGTAATTTAATTGATTATTTTATACACTAACAGTGTATACAAAAAAATCTTGAGCTATACTCTAAAGGTACCACCGCTCTAAGCCCTCTTTGTTTGTTTTAATGTATCGAAATAAGCAGTATATGCAACTGAACCAACCATTGCAAAATTAATAAATCTGTCAACATTCAGTCATTACCGTCTCTTCGGACTGCGGCTTTCTTACTACCTGATTGGAAGATATTACCGACGCTGTAATAATTAAAGTTCTTTGATTGGTTGGGACAATTCAAACCTAGTAAATGTCTTTTCATCCCGTAGAGTGTCGGATCTAAACTCTTTAATTTAGTAAATAGATTTGCCTGGTTACCAATCATGTGTGAGGGGATGGTTCTGGATACAGTGTATGGGGTATATTCCAAGGCACTTCAAATAATACTCAAAGCAGCAAAACAAATAACAATTTAATGAAAAGAAAGTAAAGACATATTCAATTCAATATTTAACACATCAAAACATCTTAATAACATTTAGACAGAAACACTTCCAAACATTAATGCCTAAACCAGGTTAGCTTAGCCATCATGACGCCACAAGGCTTGCACATATGCAGCTTAATTTCAGACAGGCAACCCGTTTTATCGTAGTTTGTTTTAATGTGCATCGCACTCAGACAAGGGAACCCGTGATTTGGCAATTAGGTCATATTCAAATATTTTAATTATTTCATTTAAATAACTTCTTTCAAAATGGTAAGCAAAAATAAATAACATTGTAAAATTATAGCAAACGCCAAATAAATAAAGGAACTCAAATGTCAGTCTTGCTCAAAATATGAATACTAAATAGAATAAGTCAAATGTAAATGAAATATTATCAAGCAAATCAATTAACAGCCTGAATAATTAAGTTATGAAAAGGGAAATAATCCATTCCTATTACACATGGTTACAAGAGCGCAATTATTCGTAATGCATTTTCCATAGGGTACCAGTGGTGTTCCGTATTTTTTTCTCGAAGACTACACAAACTAGCAAAAAACGGGTAGCAGTTCTTGTTACTGGAAATGCCAGTGTTGCATAACAACCAAAAAAATACATATGGTCATGCGGCAAAAATTGACTTAAATTGCAGTTGAAAAACATCGTCTATTTTTTTTGCTTAATGAAAAGGGCATATTTTTAATGGCTCCGACGTGCAGAAATGGAAGATATTTTCTATACTTTGTAAAATGTGAATTTGATTTTCTGGACTTTTTAAACCTAATTGGATAAGCTTTCGATTAAAAGTAATTCCAATCCTGTATCATCCAATCAGAAGCCGTACAAGATTCTATTTTGAGTACCATCTTGTGGTAAAAACCTTGCCGGTAAAATGTAAACAAATAATTGCGCTCTTGTAACCTATAGCATATCGGTACAGCACAGGTAACACTTATCTATAATAGCCGAATCTCCTGAAGATTTGTAAACACACATGTGATTATGTCAGTCCAGTTGCTCACTGTTACGTACATTTTATACGTGAAAACATAAGAAAACTTTTAGGAAAATGTTTTTTTTCTTAGGTTATATTTATCTATACTCAGTAAGATAATCTAAAGGCAACACAAACATTTTAAAACGGAGATATCAAATAATTTCTTTTCGATTAATATTAATTTACACGAGAATTTTTATCTCAGGGGGCGGGGGCGGCGGTACTTCGACCTTTCTATGGCAGGGGTGAGCAGCTGAGACATCCAATACCCCACCCTTTTATATATATATATATTGAATGATAAAAGAACATACATGTAGTTACCCTAGCTATCATATATTTGTTTACAATAAGTATATATACCTGCTCATAGCTATCATTGTTACGCTATTTCATGGGGAGATACTAGTAAATAGATTTGACAAATATCTTAAACATTTACGAAAGTGATTTTAGAGACATATATACACAATCTCTGGTGATTTTAATTGCATCTGTAAAAAAAAATATCGACATCTGATTAGTTTCAGATTCAATCATCAACCTTGTCTTATATTTCACCTAAATTTCTCGACCTCATGCAATATCATGAAACTTCAAATAGTGATCTATCCCTCATCCCTCATCCCTTCCACTCATTACATAATAACCCAGCAAACACACGACGTACTCCCAACGTCAGTTAATGGTCGTCTGAACGTCATGTCTTGAGTTTACGTCGTACCAACGTTGTGGGAACGTAAAAACCCAACGTTGGATGCAGACGTACAGACGACGTTATAAAATTACGTCGAATTTACGTAAATTTAGTACCCTGTCAGGACGTAACATTTTATTACGTTGTGACAACGTGCTTATAACTGTCATAATCCGACGTAACATTTTGTTACGTCGTATCAACATTATAATAACGTAGTGAACAAACGTACCCTGTGAATACCAGTGACACATTTAAATCTGGTTTTATGGGACGAATTTTGTGGGTATGAGTCTTCCTGGATATAACATTCACCTTCACTAGAATATATTCACGATTTTTTCGATTTTCAAAATATCCCCCTTTTTTCCCGCACAGACATAATTTGCACCAAAATGTCCAAGAAAATATTACAAATCCAATTTTATTGTTCTAATATATATATTTTGTATGAATATTTATTGTTTAATATATCATTAAAGTTTTGCCATCATTTATCGTTTTTTTACGATTGGTTATAAATAGTGGAACGTTCAGCAGTACTCGGGTTTTACCGCTGCATACTATGAAAAGTCTGAGCATGCGCACTTTCACCGCTTGATTTTTAAAAACAGTGATAAACAAACTTGCAGTGAAATTTAGCTCGATCCAGAACAAAGAAAAAGGTAATATAATAATTGCACATACGCCAAAAAGTTTCTCCATGATAAAAACAAGTATGATTGAAAACAAGAAAACATCTGTTGCCGTGTTGGGCGCCTCTTTCAAGTCTGTTGTCCGTGACCGTGTTGAAATATGATACTTCTTATTATACTGTCAATATATTGCACTGATACAAGATATTTTAGCCAACATTTGTGTTATTTGAATCCATTTTTCAAATTGCTCGATTAACTTGTGTTGTTTTTTTAAGATATATGAAATTAACTGTAGAAAGTAAAAAAAAGGGGGTGCACAGCACAGCCACAGGCACTTGTTTTCTACAGGTCAGGAATAACCACCAATTGGTGGATTATACCTCAATTGACGTATAATCCACCAATTGACATATAATGGTAAAGACCAATTGAAGTATAATTCTTTGTATTTCAAAGCAAGCTATACAACTAAAATGGAGCATTGTTTTCTTATAACCATATTATGGTATGAAAACATGTCAAACATTCCTAGTTAAGTATAGTGACATAACATATTGCATTTAATCAATAATTGTATTTGCAGCTTCTTCTATTGTTATCTTGTCAATTCTTGATTGGTAAATTTTCCACTAATCACCGGTCAATGGACATCAATACTGTCTTCAGTCATGTGATTATGAGTACAACTCACCAGGTGAATGGAGCTCTTTGTTAATACTTGACTTTCATTATTAAAAGTCAATCATGGTCAATAGTACAGATGTTTTAACAAAAGAATTGTTATACACATGCATTCTCAAGAGATGCAGCAGGCTTTGACAAAACTGAAACTTTAGGAGGATTCAATAATGGTTATAAAATAGGTTGCAAGTTGCAAAATGATGCTCCTATCCCAGACTAGCATTTTATTACAAAAAACTTGCATTATACGTCAATTGGTCTATACCAATATATGTCAATTGGTGGATTATACGTCAATTGAGGTATAGTCCACCAATTGGTGGTTATTCCTGACCTGTTCTATCCATGCCAAGAGCTACTATCCCTATATATTAAGGCTGCAAGTGTCTTTTGCACTGTTATTTTTTGATAATGTTGGAAGCATAAAAGTCTTATCAATATCACAAATGCGAAGCTAGACATCTCGGCACATTACAAACTCGGCCCATTACAAACTTGGCATGTTACAAACTCGGCCTATTAATGATAATACTACATGTATCACTGGTGGTTGCCTGAACATGCATGAAATATTTGCCACTGGACGTTAAGCAACCAACAATCAATCAATGTATCATTGGGTCTGACATGCATGGGAAGAAACAATTGTGCCAATAACGACTGTCGTAGATAGGTGTCACAGAAAAATTAAAATACTCTTCCAAGACGTCATAATTATTTGGGACTAGATCGTCGTAGATAGGCGTCACAGAAAAAAATTAAAATAGCCTTCCAAGACGTCATAATTATTTGGCACTAGGTCGTCGTAGATAGGCGTCACAGAAAAAAATTAAAATAGCCTTCCAAGACGTCATAATTATTTAGACTAGGATCCAGTAGGGAAAAGTTGGGTAAAATCTTCCTGTTTTGAGGGTAAAACCAAGTTTACTGGTGTTAGAAAAACCAGTATATAGGGACGTCTTTTTTGCTGTTCAATTTATGGTATGAAATCTAAATGTTTATCAATGACGAGCTGTATTCAACTCTCACTAAATATGTGATCAGAAACAATGTCGTAATCAATCATAAAACTTATGAATTTTGGAATGCATGTAAATTTGTCACTTACCTAGTTCTCCCAAAGATTTGTTGGACTGACACTCATGTAAACAGACGGAGGAATATAGAAGATAATTGAATGTATTTATAATTTTTTTTCCAGAGTCTTGTATAAAAATTCACAGATCCAATGTGTCTGAGGTTGAGGAATGCATTGCAGTAACACTTAAGCATGCACCAGCTCAAAAAGATGGACCAAGATATAAAAAGGTAAACATCAGTTGATCAGCTCTTTTTATGCCCTCCTTCACTGAGTGATATAGTTTTACTCTTGTTCTGTACGTACATACATTGAACTCAAAATTGGTTTCTGTTCTCTAACTTTGGTTTGCCTGAACGACATGTTATGAAATTTATACACAATGCTTATTATCATAAAACGCAGAGTTTGAATTTGAAGAGCATCTGTTTTACTGTTCTTTAGTTATCTCCTTTAATAACATCATTTGTGGCTCATAGACACATTCTTCTTTTATTAATTTTATTTATCAAATTATAATTTGATGATTTTATAGATTGCGTTCATTGGCATATGATATAAGGTCTTGCTGTATTGCCAGGGGCGTAGCTACCCGGATGCATGACAGCACGTGCAACCACGTCGTTTTCACCAACAACAAAAAAACAGAGAGAGAGAGAGAGAAAGTAAACTTATTGGAATTAGTCTTTCTATGTATGCATTTTAAAAACTACACAAAGAATAAGAGCAAGAGGAATACACATGCAGCAAAACTTTTAATCCTGTAAGACATGTATGTGTATGATAAATACATACAACTGGAGTAAACATGGCGGAACTTTTTATATTACGGACATTGTTTAGGGGAAAAAAACAGCTACATAGTTGTCGGTACCACCACCATAACGTATACTCGACTTGAGTGCAAAAAAACAACCTAATCCCTTTAGGGTTAACAAAAAAACTTGAAAATTATTATTTTCCGCTTCGCCCCAAAACACACATCTTACTACAACGAAGACTTCAACTCGTATCGATCCGGGAATAATGACTGTTACCTTGTGAACTAGTTCAAAATTGACCAAGTATGGTCTTGACAACACGAATGCTTAATTTTCACAACACGTAAACGTATTCCCGTCCTGGTGTGCATGTAATATTTGCTACTGGACATTAATAACCATTCGATCTATCAATAGTTTCCGTACACTAATAGATGAGAAGTTGGAACTGCTGTTATTATAAAGAAAGTACACATTTTCCAGTACATGTATTATGTTTTTGTTTATTTTACAAAAAAACATCTTGTATATAGATTCGATAATTCGAAGCCGTTTCTATATGGGCCGGCTATAGGAATAGTTGATTGTAAAAGCATTTAAATAAATTGTTTATTCTAACTCGTTTTACTGGATTATTTGGTCATTCAATTTTATAATGAATTTTCTGTCCGAGTCGGACACTAAACTGCTAATTCGTGTTCAAAAGAAACACCAAACTTTTAATACACGTATCTTCACTGTTATCATCTAGATATTGCCATACAACTTGTCGAATGCACATGTATTTGTTAATTAGCTGGATAATTAACAAACGCAGATCATGAAAAGATCGTGATCAAAGTACCATTCCCTCTGAAAAAGTTCATTAATTTCAACTTTGAGAATTCCTAACTGCGTAAAATTAGACATTCCTATCTCTCTCTTGCATGTAGAGTTTACCCACTGAATTTTTAAACATCTAAATCCATATGTTCAGCAAAATATTGTAGAATGTGTCCACCAAGTATTTGGTATCCAAAGATGTTTATTCTAACAGAAACTCTACATATAGTATTGTGTTTTGTTTATTGTTTTTTCTTTCTTTTTTTCTACTTTGCTCAATACCAATACTAGCATATGGGACAAATCTCCATGATTTTAAAAGCTCTCACGGCGTACAAAAAACGCAAACGACAATGTTAAGTCTTCATTCGACTCGAAGTTAAACAAATAGTTGACCAAAAAACCACAACAAAAATGTACAATTTTTATTACGGTTGTGATTGTTTTGAAACGCTATAAATGCGGATCTTCCGGGGGGCTTCGCCCCTGGACCTTTGGACTGGACCTACTGGGGGCCTTAGGCGGCCCCCAGACCCCTCGCCCTTTAGTTTGTGATTCCACTTCATTAAGAAGGTAGCTACGCCCCTGATTGCTGTAAATTCTAAATGTATTAAGGTAAAATCCTATGAATATCTAAAATTAATTGATAAATAACAATTTTGAGAAACCAAACTTCCTTTTTTAATTTGGATTCATCATTATTTGTAGAATAACTACTGGTTGTTCCAGAAAATACTATGTCCCCCCAGGGAAGGCTCTTTTTTTAAAATTTTATGTGGGGGTGGTTGTATTTGAAATACCAAAATGCAAAGGGAGTGTTGTTCTTATTTATTTTTATACGCCCGTTTACGGGACGTATTATGGTATACCGTTGTCCGTCTGTCCGTACGTCATCAACATGTTGGACATTAACTCAAAACCGCTTTAACCAATTTGCATAAAACTTTGGTGAATTGTTTAATTCTATTGACGTGAGCTCCCTTTCGTTTTTCTATAAATTTTAGATTTTACGTTTCCGAGTTATGGGGTTTTATTCATTAAAAAAAGGGGGATTTTCCAGTTTTCGGAAAATAACTCAAGAATGCTTTCACCAACTTGCAAGAAATTGTGGTGAATTGTTTATATCTATTGACATGAGCTCCCTTTTGATTTTTATAAATTTTAGATTTTACGTTTCTGAGTTACAGGGTTTTATTCATAAAAAAGGGGGGTTATCCAGTTTTCGGACAAAACTCAAAAATGCTTTCAGCAGTTCTTATGAAACTTTGGTGAATTGTTTATATCTATTGATATAAGCTCCCTTTAGAATTTTATAAATTTTACATTTTACATTTCTGAGTTATGGGGTTTTATTCATTAAAAAAGCGGGGATTTTCCAGTTTCGGACAATAACTCAAAAATGCTGTCAGCAATTCTCATGAAACTTTGGTGAATTGTTTATATCTATTGATGTAAGCTCCCTTTTGATTTTCATAATTTCTAATATGACATTGAGAATTAATTGAACTTTATTTGTTTATAGTCTGACAACAGATTTACTAAGTATTGCGCAACAGCACAGTGTATTGCACAACAGCAAGAAAACTCTATATTAATTGAATATAAATTCAATTCATATAACCAATTTCAAGTTCTTTGACTACATTTATTCAGAAACCTATAATATGTCAAATATTTAATTTCAATCCAAATTCAGACCTGTATCAAGCTTGAATATTGTGTCCATTTTTGCCCCAACTGCTCAGGGTTGGACCTTTGCGGGCGTATCCAGCTTCGCACAGCGAAGCAGTTTATTAATTCTGTCGGTGCTGGGGGTTAAAAAATGGCCGTCCCTGGGGGGCGGACATAGTATTTTCTGGAACAGCCATAATTCCATTAACACATGTTCAATTTAACAACAAATTTATTTTTTAAATAAGAACAAAGGTTAACCAAATCGAATAGTAATATGTGTTAATTTTTTTATAGAAAAGTTGCTTTTGTTAAAAGGAAATGTGTAAATCTTGTACTTCAGTATTGCAAAAGTTAAAAACTAAGACTTTAACCTTAAACAACTGTGTGAAACATGAATTGGACAAAACTACAGGTTTAATGTAAAACATAATGCAAAGTTAGTCTTTCTATGTATGCATAGTTTCGGACAATAACTCAAAAATGCTGTCAGCAATTCTCATGAAACTTTGGTGAATTGTTTATATCTATTGGTGTAAGCTCCCTTTTGATTTTCATAATTTCTAATATGACATTGAGAATTAATTGAACTTTATTTGTTTATAGTCTGACAACAGATTTACTAAGTATTGCGCAACAGCACAGTGTATTGCACAACAGCAAGAAAACTTTATATTAATTGAATATAAATTTTCTGGAACAGCCATAATTTCATTAACACATGTTCAATTTAACAACAAATTTATTTTTTAAATAAGAACAAAGGTTAACCAAAAGTTATAAATTATTATATACTGTTGAAATTATTTTAAAATTTCTAACATACATTATCAAAATGTGTATAATTGGCAAAGATACAAACATCTCTGACTCAGTAACAGCACAACATAATTATGAATCTGTATGGAACGCCACAGCTGTCTTATGTGGAACTCAGATATTACTTTATGTTGTTTTATTATTACTTGATGATATTTTGTCTTTACTTAATATGGTTTTGACATTACGTAATGATGTTTTGATATAACTCAATATGGAATAGTCATTACTTAATGATATTTCGATATTACACGATATGGTTTCGTATTGACTTGATATAGTTTTGTCATTACTCAATATGTTTTTGTCATTACTCGATGTGGTTTCACCATTATTTAATGTGGTTGTGTCAATAGTCAATGTGGTTTTAACATTACTTGATGTGAATGTGACTTAACGTTATGTAGTTGTTTCATTACATGATGTGGTTTTGTTATTTCGTAATGATGATTTGCCTATTCTTTATATGGTTTTAACATTACGCAATGATGTTTCAAAATTGGACGATTTTACACTACATGATGTGTTTGTTTCATTATTTGATGTGGTCCTGTCATTTTTTGATGTGGTTATCCCACTACTTGATGAGGTAAAACCACGTGACCAATTCGGAAAAAAATATGTTCTATTTTTAAACAGATTTCAATATATCGTTTGTTTAGTGTGCTTTAGATGGGTATCGCTATCCATTGAGTTAAAGTTCAAATTAAAGTTCGAGTGGTTGTTCAGAGTTATTTGGTATGAAAAAGGGGAACGGCAGACAATAATAAGAAAAAAAGTATTAAAAAGTTTACAGTATTTCGGACATAATTGGGGTATCCCCAAACCACTTGGTCCGGTTGTTTTTATCCTATGTTCTCAAACGGAAACAGTATTTTTGTAATAAATTTGTAAAATATTCCACGAAACCATGTGTCTCGCCTGATATTGCTGCTGTAAGTGTAAAAGCGTCATGTTGATCGGCTGTACATTTATCTATACATTTATCGGTAAAAACAAAATTAAAACAAAATGTTTTTCTGTAGATGCTTTTTCTTGAAATTGAGGAATAACTCCTATATAAGTTTTAAAACACTTCATGTTTACAAATTTATCATGTCAAAACAGTTTAATTCGGTTTTATTTAACTAAAACAAAACTCTATGGTTTTCAACAATGAGCAAAACCCATACCCTATAGTAAGCTATAAAAGGTCCCGAAATAAAAAATGTAAAAAACTAGAAACCTAACGATCTATAGATAGATACATAGATACTTTATTCTCTAAAAACTTTACAAGTTTACAGAGAAACAAACAATATAAATACAGATACAATAGTCGAGGTAAACAAATACAGTATGATATTCTAAAAGTACAAAATTATGATGGCATACATGTTTAGTAAAATGTATAATGAAAGGTTAAACACAATAGAAATAAAAAAATGGAGATGGAGACGCCGACGCCACTATCGACGACGAAATATAGGTTTGTTGTGTTTCACTGCCGCTACATTGATGTCGCAGGCTCGACACAAATCAAAAGACTTAAACTTTATTGTTAACAAACGAAACACTACAAAACAACTCACACTAAAGTTACAGGGAAACGGGGGGAGGGGGCTCGGACTAAGCGACAAAGCATCAATACTATAATATAAGAATTCTCCGATTTTTTTTTAGCGTAAATGATCATTTGAACTTATACGAATATCAATCTTTTATTTGTAATCAATTGAATTCCCTGATCTACCTCGCACTAATTGAAAAATAAACTTTTTGGAATATCTGTTTCACATGTGACGACGGACATGTTCCAGTGGTCGTAACCATAATACCGTCATCTTTTCCTTGAATGTAAACTACCAAATAAAACCAAATCACTGGTTTTGTACTTTCTCGAATAACACGACGGGTGCCTTTCTGGAGCATCCGAGATCACCCCGATGGATTTATATAACCCAGTCATACCGATCTATTGAATCAGCCAAATGAAACAGTTTTGTATGAAAGTTGGGGGGCATATTGTTTTACCCCTGTCCGTCCGTCCGTCCGTCCATCCGTCCGTCTGTCCGTCCCATTATGGGTATATAGTTATTCCGCATAACTCCTCCTACAGTTTGAATCCTAGGAAGTTTTCTCTTTACTGTCTGTTTGTACATGATTGAAGGTGTGCATGTGGTCAGGGTTTAATGTTTATTAATATTTGCTCTTTTGGGAGATAGTTGAACTTTGTAATTTTTTGGGAAATTTACTTGCATAAGTAAAGCGTTTCCAGATAACTCCTCCTACAGTTTGAATGCTAGGAAGTTTTCACTCTGCTGGCTGTTTGTACATATATTGAAGGTGTGCATGTGGAGTGCAAGGGCATCACGTTGTTTAGTTTAAATTTTTTTCTCGTGTTGTGCTGTTACACAACTGTAACAGTCCAATGTAAGGTTAGGATTTAGCGCTCACATACATGTTAAACTCCGCCACGTGCACTTTCTTTATGTACCTGCCCCAAGTCAGGAGCATGAAGTTCAATTGTTGTCGTTGTATAAATGTGTGTCATTTTTTTGTTGTAGATTCTTTATTTATAAATAAGACCGTTTGTTTTTTCGTTTGAATTTTTTCACAAAAAAATTGATGGCCTTTTGTAGCTGACTATACGGTGTGTTGAATGCTGTACGGTTGCCTATATATGATTTCTTACATCCACTGCATTTAAACTCTGGTGGATAGTTGTCTCATTGTCAATCACACCACATCTAGCATTATTTCAACTTCTATGTTGCGTTTTGTATACTGTAACATTGTTTATCTTTTGTACGCATACCCCGGAGCCCTCTTTTCGGAAGCCCGAGCAGAAGTCCTTGTTCCGCGATAGAAAATTTAATTACGAACTCATAAAAGATAGCTCGAATTTCAACTCATAATTTTAATTAATCTAAATGAGACTTAAATTCGCATCTTACTCAAACTCTACCTCAAAAAGTGACTCAAATTTAATGTTGTAACTTGAACTCTACCTTTAAATGTGACTCAAACTCGAAGTCCAGCTCGAAACTCAATGCTAACTAAAACTTTAATTCTAATAATGACTTGAATTCGAAATCGAAGACTAACTCAAAGTTTAACTCAAACAGTAACCCGAACTCTTATTTGATGGATGGCCACTCTCATCAAAGGCACATACAACATGGAAATCTATCTAAAAATAGAACAGGTTTTTCCGAATTGGTCACGTGATTTTACCTCATCAAGTAATGGGATAACCACATCAAAGAATGACAGGACCACATCAAATAATGAAACAAACACATCATGTAGTGTAAAATCGTCCAATTTTGAAACATCATTGCGTAATGTTAAAACCATATAAAGAATAGGCAAATCATCATTACAAAATAACAAAGCCACATCATGTAATGAAACAACTACATAACGTTAAGTCACATTCACATCAAGTAATGTTAAAACCACATTGACTAATGACACAACCACATTAAATAATGGTGAAACCACATCGAGTAATGACAAAACCATATTGAGTAGTGACAAAACTATATCAAGTCAATACGAAACCATATCGTTTAATATCGAAATATCATTAAGTAATGACTATACCATATTGAGTTATATCAAAACATCATTACGTAATGTCAAAACCATATTAAGTAAAGACAAAATATCATCAAGTAATAATAAAACAACATAAAGTAATATCAGAGTTCCACATAAGACAGCTGTGGCGTTCCATAAATCTGCAAGATTTATTATACGACCAGCAATAGAAAAAATATTAATTATGTTTACACACAGGATATTTTTTAAGAACTGCTGTAATTCATAAGTTGGGATCAGTTTTTTATTTGTATTTTATAATTTATGATTATTTTTTTTCAGAGACCTGAAACCAACACAAGACCAGCTGATCAGAGGGCAGAAAACCAAAATTTGGAATGACATGTATACAACCAACACAAGACTAAAATTTGGAATAAAAATAAAAAAAATTCAGAAACATATTATTTTTTTTTTATTGGTTCATGAAGCCAAAAAAAAAGAAGTCTTAGCTTTTGGATAGGTCTATCTCTAGTTGGTCAATGGAAAAAAGCAATAGTTAGTTTGATTGTATTTCAGGTATTTTCTTCATTTGGGATATTTTTAGAAGTGTATAAGTTGTGTAGAATATATATTTGTAAATTAGAAAGTCAGCTTTTGGGCCTTTTTCCAAACTTTTTTCCTAGCTTGTCATTGTGTAGTGAATCCAGCTGAATGAATCTACAGTAAATATTAAGGTATATGTGGTAGTTTGTTGTATTTCTGAATAATTCATTAGAAAATGTTTTCCTTCGTTAAAGTGAAATCTACATTCTAGAATTTCCACCATCATAGTGATTCTATATTCTAGAACACTGAAACCCTAAACATTCAGAAGTTGCAGCATGTACCAAGATGTCATGTTGAAGGCTGTACAGTTACCTATAATTGCTAACATCATCAATATTTGATTTTAGGATAGAGGGTTGTCTCGTTGGCCATCATACAAAATCTCCTTTTTCGAATAGTAATATGTGTTAATTTTTTTATAGAAAAGTTGCTTTTGTTAAATGGAAATGTGTAAATCTTGTACTTCAGTATTGCAAAAGTTAAAAACTAAGACTTTAACCTTAAACAATTGTGTGAAACATGAATTGGACAAAACTACAGGTTTAATGTAAAACATAATGCAAAGTTTTTGGGAAAACGAAATATTTACACATTTGACACTGAAACCTGGCAAAAAGGTAAAAAAACAACTTTTGTGACTATATTATACACAGCTGGCAGTTTGGAAATAAGAGTACATGTCGATATTGTGCCCATCTTTCCTACATAGACAAATTTACAACTTAAAAAACAGGTCAAAAGAATAAAATATAGACCTTGTTTACTTCTTCAATGGAATTTTATTGCTCCTATCAATCAAATGAGGACAAGGGACATTTACAGTTGTGTTGCGACGTTGTGACAACGTCTTATGATGGTAATAAATTACGTCACAAATTACGTTGTACCAACGTTGTGTGGATGGTTGTCAGCACGTGCCTTGGAGTCCACAAAATTACGTTGTACCAACGTAATTTTACTACGTTGTCACAACGATAGTGTTACGTTGTCACAACGTAATGTCAACGTTGGATTGTTTACTGGGAAGTGCCCCCGCACACACCCCAAGATCGTTGGGCTAAGTTGGATGTTGTCTAGATCTACCTAGCTAGCTCTTCCTAGCAATATAGCAGACGTTGAAGAACAAAAGACTAAAAATATATCTAAAAGGGACTATAAGAAGAACAAAAAACTACTCTCAGACGATAAAAGCAATTATACAAGTATGCTAACATATTTTAAGCAATGTTTAATTTCTATGAATGATTTTTAAGGAGATATGAAGTATACATAACTAATTTAGACAACAACCCAATTAAGCAACAAACAAAACGTGACAATTTACTTCTAAAGTTCAATCTACGGTCTTCTTTAATGGACATGTCATTACAACATTTTAAAGTATTTTATCCTCCCAAGTCTAACTATGATATATAGAATAGTTGTGAATATGTGAGCCACAATTTGTTCCTGTGAAAAAAGTTCCAGTGGAACAAATATCACAGGAAATATATTCTGGGAGAACTTTTTTCACAGATAATTAGGTCTTTCCACCTTTCCGTGGAAAGACCTATTGGTTTTCTTCTGATTATTTTTTTTTTCTTCCGCCTAATTTTTTTCTTGCGGTGTATTTTTGTTTCAAAAGATGTCACTTAGTTTTTTGGTATATGATATCATACAGTCTATACGCTTTTGAAACTGACACTGTTTAACCAAACACTTTTCTTTGTAAGAGTTATCTCCCTAAACACTGTTTTTCTTGTTATGAGATCTCCTCCGCAACCGTAAAAGAAAGCGACAAATTTATTTTTCCAAATTGCTCGTTATATCCTCAGGATGTTAGGTTTTATTTAGACCGAAGCTTTACGAAGACTCCATATGAGAGTTATTTCCCCTTTTGTATTTGATATATGTGAAATGTATTTGTAACTGGAAAACCATAAGTGATAGAGGCCTAGGGTCTTTTGATTTGAGGTCCTTGGTCCATAAAAATGAAAATGAGTTCAAGGTCAAAGATCAAGGTCATGTTAAAAATTTTGATTTTGGCTTGTTATCACTAATTTTCAGAAATCTTATAAGATATTGACAATTTTTTTTACAGAATTGATAGTTGCGACATGTCGTAACACGTAAATTTGAGTTGAAAGGGTACGGAGATATTTAATGGGAATTTTCTCCCCTTTTATATTCAAAATAACATGTATGGTGATATAACTTATTCATCTTATATAATTGAGACCTAGGGTCTTTTGATTTGAGGCCCTTGTTTCATGACCTTTAAATTGGGGTCAAGGTCAAAGTTTAATTTGACGTTCTATTTTTTTTTTTTTTTTTTCTTCCGCCTAATTTTTTTCTTGCGGTGTATTTTTGTTTCAAAAGTTGTCGCTTAGTTTTTTGGTATATGATATCATACAGTCTATACGCTTTTGAAACTGACCCTGTTTAACCCAACATTTTTCTTTGTAAGAGTTATCTCCCCAAACACTGTTTTTCTTGTTATGAGATCTCCTCCGCAACCATAAAAGAAAGCGACAAATTTATTTTAACAAATTGCTCGTTATATCCTCAGGATGTTAGGTTTTATTAAGACCGAAGCTTTACGAAGACTCCATATGAGAGTTATTTCCCCTTTTGTATTTGATATATGTGAAATGTATTTGTAACTGGAAAACCATAAGTGATAGAGGCCTAGGGTCTTTTGATTTGAGGTCCTTGGTCCATAAAATTGAAAATGAGGTCAAGGTCAAAGGTCAAGGTCATGTTAAAAATTTTGATTTTGGCTTGTTATCACTAATTTTCAGAAATCTTATAAGATATTGACAAATTTTTTTAAAGAATTGTATTTGCGACATGTCGTAACACGTAAATTTGAGTTGAAAGGGAACGGAGACATTTAATGGGAGTTTTCTCCCCTTTTATATTCAAAATTACATGTATGGTGATATAACTCATTCATCTTATATAATTGAGACCTAGGGTCTTTTTGATTTGAGGCCCTTGTTTCATGACCTTTAAATTGGGGTCAAGGTCAAAGATTAATTTGACGTTCTATTTTTTTTTTTTTCTTACGCCTAATTTTATTCTTGCGGTGTATTTTTGTTTCAAAAGATGTCGCTTAGTTTTTTGGTATATGATATCATACAGTCTATACGCTTTTGAAACTGACCCTGTTTAACCGAACACTTTTCTTTGTAAGAGTTGTCTCCCCAAACACTGTTTTTCTTGTTATAGTCCGTTTGACTTCTATAAATCTTCAGAAAATAATTCTTAAAAATTCATTTTTGCAAATAAACATTTTTTTTCTTGATGTATGTTAATGTATGATATATACGAACTCTGACTATGAATATCATAATTTTGGGCCAATAATCAAAAAAGTTACCCATTAGGTCTCTATGTTACTTCTATTTTTTCTATATAAAATACTTGATGGAGTAAGTATGAATAGTGTAACAGCCTTCCATTCAAAACAAAAACATTAGACATGTGTTTTAAACCTGTTCCATTGTACCATGTGACTTAACTCATTTAAATATCAAAAGACATTATACATGTCATGAAAAATGATCATCATCTAAGTTTTTTTATAACTGGTTTTATATGATTTTATAAATGAACTTGCATGTATCTACAAAGATGTTATTTGTGGGAAAAAATATTATAATCAGATGTTTTATTTTGTTTTTATTCCTTACCAAATCTTAAGTTTTGTTACCTTAATTTGATCATATATTTATATATATCTTATAAAAGAATACAAGCAAGCTTTTCATGCTTAAAGCATGATGACAGTATTAACAAAATGGAGAGCCTCTAAAAAGTTTCACCAATAAGTATTTACAGAATACATTTAATATTTACTTTTTTCTTGAAAAAACACAGCTTATGACTTTCAAAATACGAAAATAAAATTAGATAAAATATAACCATAAAGACCTTTACTGATGAAAAGGGGAACTTTTTAATAAAATTTCTAAACTGAATTTTGCATAAAACTACTTTGTAGTTTTTAAAAATGTTATATTAGTAATGTCCAGTGGAAAATATTACTAAAGTTACTCATAGAAATTGAACAATGAAAAATACAAAATCATGTATACAATAAGTTCAGTAATCACATGACATAAAACTTAAATGAAGTCCAAGTTTGTTTGCTGGTCAGCATTATTTAAATGAGAAAAGTCACATGGTATAATGAAACAGGTTTAAAGCACATGTCTTATGTTTTTGTTTTGAATTGAAAGCTGTTACACTATTCATACTTACTCCATCAAGTATTTTATATAAATAAAAAAGAAGTAACATAGAGATCTAATGGGTAACTTTTTTGATTATTGGCCTAAAATTATGATATTCATTGTCAGAGTTCGTATATATCACACATTAACATACATCAAGAAAAAAAATGTTAATTTGTAAAAATGAATTTTTAAGAATTATTTTCTGAAGATTTATAGAAGTCAAACGGACTATATGAGATCTCCTCCGCAACCGTAAAAGAAAGCGACAAATTTATTTTTCCAAATTGCTCGTTATATCCTCAGGATGTTAGGTTTTATTTAGACCGAAGCTTTACGAAGACTCCATATGAGAGTTATTTCCCCTTTTGTATTTGATATATGTGAAATGTATTTGTAACTGGAAAACCATAAGTGATAGAGGCCTAGGGTCTTTTGATTTGAGGTCCTTGGTCCATAAAAATGAAAATGAGGTCAAGGTCATGTTAAAAATTTTGATTTTGGCTTGTTATCACTAATTTTCAGAAATCTTATAAGATATCGACAAATTTTTTTACAGAATTGTTAGTTGCGACATGTCGTAACACGTAAATTTAAGTTGAAAGGGAACGGAGACATTTAATGGGAGTTTTCGCCCCT